CAGGATGACATTTAACCCTTTGTGGTCGATGCCGCCACAGTGGCGGCATTCGCAAGTCGTCATAGAAGTCGGTGCCGCCAGGCTGGCAGCTGGCATTCATGATCGCCTGGTGCGCGGCACGGCGAACGAGGCTAGCGATAATGAAAGAAAACTATCCTCCCGATACTAGATTCAAATGTTTAGATCAACTTACAGATATCAATGTTTATCGATCTCTTCGAAATCTGCCGACCGCAAAGGGTTAATCAATTTCATTAATTTAATTAATAGAATAAAAAATGCGTATCCTTGTACTTCGTGCGTACTCTTATCTCATAGGTTGTCCAAGGGTACGCATTTGCAGCATTTCATATTGTTAATTATTTGAAGCACTATTAATTCAATTATATCAATTTCAATTTTTAGTAGTGTCAGTACACAACAGATAACACTTCATATTCAGTATTAGTTTGGAGTAAGTATGTCGTATCGTTACAAATTCTACAGTGTACAATTAATTAAATGTAAAAAATGCGTACTATTATCCGCATTTCCTCTATATAGAAAATTATTATTGCAGAAAGATCTACCTGTATTAAGTATCCATGTATTATATCTTGCATCCTTCTGCATTGAGAATTTGAATAATCGTTTTCCAGTTGATTTTCCATTCTGACAATCTTTATACATGTAATGTATGTTATAAAAGCTATCTTCTGGAGTCAACATAGTCTTTATATTTTTATTTGCAATGCAGTGCAAAAAATAATTTTAGATATGTGAGAAAAAATATGTAAAAAGTAAGAAACTAAAAATGACAGAATAAAGAGAAAAATGAAAAAAGGAAAAAAAAGCAACGTAAAAGGAAAAAAAAAGAATAAATAAATGAACCAATACAATGAAGTATACACACCAATATAGGAGTATACAAATATATTTATTAATATTGGGCAAAAAACCGTAATACATGTTGCAAAAGAGACAGATCACGTATATCTGAGAGATCATTTAGAAACAAATGTTGTAAAACATTAATCTCACGAAGGAAAAAATGACTGCAGCTCAGGTCAAAATACTTATCACAAAGCACGAATAGCGAAACACCGCTATAACAAACGTTATTGTGAACCTCGCGACGCAGATTGACTATTCTCGGCGACAGAGTCGCTAAACAGCAGTGCTATAGCGCTTCTTTTGTTTCAAATCGTCAAGCGAATGATAAAAACAACGCTTGTAAAGTTTATTGACAACTTTTATACAAGTTAACTGTGGTGAAAAAAGTTGTGTTAATGTAAATAACTCGTGCATGAATTCACATGATATAAATTATGTGGATTCGACATGGATAGCTTTTACAACGTATGTTTTTTTTGTCATTATTAATACCGTGCTCCTATACGATTTATTTGTTTCAGAAAACGCGTGCACGTACGCGCAATCATAAACAATCCGCAGCTATGTGCCTAGCGTGCTGCATATGTTTTCCAGTTGGTTGGTGTCAGTAGATGTCAGTTGCTTAGTAGGTGTTAGACAGTGCATATGCGAGGATGTCAGCGAATGAGGTAAATATATTGTTGTGTCCGAGCCACAAAGTTTGTGGCGACGTCCGTTGTCTGTGGGCCTTAGGCATCTGATTTTGACAATTGAGCGAGGATTGTCCTGACGACGAAAAAATCGACAAAATGTTGCGCTCACTCTCACACTCGCGCTTGCACTCGGGTAAATGAAGAACACCCGCGTAACGACTAAGAAGCTTTAATATTTATAGCACAACTCGCTCACGCTTTAAACAAGAATAATTCTCTATTTTAATAATTCTGAATTCTCGCGTCTGTCTTCGATGAAAGCTTGCCAGAGACTCTCTCAACTGTTCTGTTATCTTCGTATCGATTTTCTCGTCGTCAGGACAATCCTCGCTCAATTGTCAAAATCAGATGCCTAAGGCTCACGGACAACGGACGTCGCCACAAACCTTGTGGCTCGGACACAACAGTATATTTAACCGTTAAATATTAATTATATATATATATTATAAATGCTTTTTTTATAACAAATATGTTTCATGAATTATTTAAGAACGAGCTTAATACGATGACGACGACGACCGCCACAACGGTCACGACGCCCGCCACAGCCACAATGGTCACGACGTCCGCGACAGCCACGACGGCTACGATGGCGATGTCTGAAAAAATTACCAGGGCGACATCAACGACGGCAGCGATGGCCACGACGGCGACCGAGCCAATAACGTTAACAGTAAGTATAAAAATCTACGAGGGCAGTCTGAAAAGTTCTTGGCGTAACAATGAAAGAAAATTTTTTTTGCCGTGAAATATGTTTTTCAATATAATCTCCTAAAACTTCAATACATTTATTCCAACGTTTTTCCAATAATTCAATACCATCATTCAAATGTGATTCCGGAAGGTTCTTTTCACTCTGGTGTATAGTGATGGATTCAAGTTTCATCAACAGTTATAAAACGACGCTTGAAATCCATTTTATTTTGCTTAAGACGTGCCAAACACGCTTGAGAAATACGCATTCGAATGTATTTTTGGTCAATTGTTAGCAAATGCAGTACCCATCTTGCACAAAGCTTTTTCAACTGGTGCTACTACTCGAATGACTTGACAGATCGAATAAAATTTTACATGGGTTTATATCAAGGATGCTACTTTCCAATACAATTATAGTTTGACAGTTTCTAATGCTATGTATGTGTCAGGTCGAGAACTTTTCAGACTACCTACATATATATGTCTAAAGCCCAGTTCCATAACCTCTGTATAACTTTAACTACTGATTAAATGCCAATAGTGATTGTTTAATTCTGATTAATTCTTAACGTCAAATGCAGTTGGTCAAGTCTAGTGAAATAACCAGCTTTAAGTTAACCAGGTTAAGTTAACTAGAAGTTGTGGAACTAGGCCTAGACGCTAATCAATAGCCAGTAAACATACATGTCTAAAAGATTTCTTTAAGACATTTTTTACACATACAAGTCTAAAAATTGTCTTAAAGAAAGCTTTTAGACATGTATGTTTACTGAGTACATTATATTCAATTGTAACTTCTTATTTAACTCTTTACTTCATATTTTAATATTATCTTATTATTACAGGCTGAAGAGTTACAAAATATTATACAAACAGCAGTAATAGCTGTTTTAGGAAGAGCAAGAGGAAGAAGAAGAGGAAGAGGGACAGGGAGAGGAAGAGGAAGAGGTGGAAGCGAAGATGCAGGAAGAGGAAGAGGAGAATGGAAAAGAAGAGGCAGAGGAATGCCCAACATTAATATATATGACACAGTAACAACATATACACACGCACGCATGCAAACACACACACACATAAAAGAAAATAAAAAATGGAAAATATAAAAATAAAAAGAAACCATTTAATTTATTCATTTCTTATATCCAAAGTTACCAAATAATTTCCTTTCCTAATTACGCGAAATAATTCACGCAGTGCATGAAATATTCCAGCAAACACAATATTACATGTAACGTGCATTAGTTTTTTATATTATTTTTCTTATATATTGTTATCATTTATGATATTTCCTTAAAAGCATTATTCATGATTGTGAAAATGACTTTTTTATATACGGTATTTCAAATTCGATAATCTTATTTACAATTCTATCGAATAATTATTTTGCTCATCATATCTTAACTGTTATACATACTGAAAGAAAACTGATAAAGATCTTAGTTCATAACTATTATATAACATTTGTGTTATATAACAGTTGTATTGTTGAATAGGAAATTACAACTAGCATGCACATTATATGTAATATTGTGTTTGCTGGGATGATTCATCCTGATGATATATATAACTTTTACTATATTCTGTGTAGTAGCTCAGATATGAACCAAACTATTACAGATAAACCTCGTTACCGAGCGACATCGACGTAGTTGACGTCTATTTTCTCAGGGAGCATGTCGACGTAGTTGACGTCTATTTTCTCAGGGAGCGTGTCGACGTAGTTGACGTCTATTTTCTCAGGGGGCGCGTCGAATTCAAAAAAATTTCTGAACCTTCGCTGATGGCCGCTCTCAGGTTTCTCTCTGGTTACACATTTTCCCGAAAAGTAGAGGGGATAACGTTGGCACTACCGAAAACCTCTAGGCAACCTAATTTCAATTTCCCTCGATTAGTAACACTGTTCAAGTAGTAGTTTACCAGTTTGCTGAATTTTTTTGATAGATGTGCGCGCATGTTTATAATAAATATTTACGATCATAATATTTTATAAATGTAAGTATAAAATATATATATATATATATTGCGACATTTATTTAAAATAAAATTAAGTAAAAATATTACAAATAAATGAAAACATAAAATTCATTAATATGAACGAAATGAAAAACAATTATATTATACGTATAAGTGGATAAATTATTATATGCAATTAAACAATTTGAGTTCTTCAGTGTTTTAACATGTCTTGATAAATATTACGGTAATTATTTAGAAGACGGGCCTCACCTTGGATTTCGCTCAAACTTACCTATCTTGTGTATTTTGACGTGTGTAGAAGCCGAATCTGCAAGTAAAACTGGTCGCTCGGCTCTAGTTTGTGAGAAATAAATAGTTAAAAAGTGACACATGCGAGGTTAGGAAATCTGTCATGTCGGTAATACAACCCAGCAAACACGGTGACGTCGAAATGACGTACCTTTTGCGTCATTTGTTACGTCATTAGTAACCAAGAAAGAACGTTATAAAGACGTACAAATAACGTCGAAATGTCACATCCCAATGACGTGATTTTAATTCGTTTTAAAGACGTCATTATGTACCAAACAGAAACGTCACTAATACGTCACTAATACGTCATTAATACGTTTTAATGACGTAAAAAACACGTTGCAGTATAGGGTAAAAAGCACCTGCGTATACACAGGTACAATAATTTTCAATAGTTTAAATACCAAATAATTTAATATATTTTTATAAATAGCAAAACAATCTGTGAGAAAAATATACATTGTATGCTTATAATACTATATACTCTTACATACTTTAAAAATATAGTTGAGGTACATTTTCTCTTATCCTGTATGTTGCCAGTGGGGAATGACTAATCATGATCAATCTGAAGTCTATTGTTACATCGATTCAATGTCAAATAGATGTAAAATAAGCTTAAAATTCTATTTTGAGATCAAATCGATATTTTTTTATCAATCATTCCTCACTGGATTATATCTATGTTATTATAAAAATATCAGTCATTCAATGTGTGCAAAAGTGGGAATGATACATGTCTGTTTTGAAATGGAAAAACAAAACATTTGCACTCGACATCTAATAAGTTCCAACGTTCCAAGTTGTCAGATAATTTTTCAATTACAAAAATGTTTAATATTTCTGAATTAAAAGGATAACTATATAGAGATTCATATTTGCAAAACTTTTTTCCTATTATAAGGACAGTATCTTCAGTTTTTATAAAATTATGTATTTCTATAACTTGAGTGCCAATCATATAGTAACAATTTACTTTCGAATAATTATTAATAGTTAAAACACAATCTCTAAAATAAACCTTTTTAAACTGTTTGTAGGATAACATTGTGGCAATTGTTGGGCCCAAGCAATGCTCTATCAAACATGAAATATTATTCAGTTCAAATGATTATTTCTCGCCTTGTTCTGAAAATTTATTAATTTGTTCTAATTTGTTACAAATTTGAATTAAAGGTTGTTTTGTACATTTAACAAGACGAAGCAAGTATCCTAAAAAATTTTCAAAAGGAAAAGCTGCAAAGTTATCAAGTTCTCCATACGTCGAAACATCTTCTGGCAAATGAATTAAGCAATGGACATTATAAATAAGAAATTCAGATCATTATATAGATGTTCACTATGTTGAACAAATGTTTTTAGAAATATAGAAGCCATTTCACATCCTAATGTTGCAATGTGCTTCTCAGAACATAAAATAACTACAGCCGAATGTAAGAGTATGAAGTGTTCATAAATGGAATGATCTACAATCCCTTTGAGAATAGCTAGACCAATATATAGAAGGAAAGTTCTAAATTCTGTAGCTTTAAACGAGATAACTCGTCTAAAGATCGCGGTTTTCGGTTGATTTCATTGGGAACGTTATTATGTAAAGAAATCATTTTTTCTGATAAACATTTGACTAAATAAGATGACAATCGAACTTTACAATCGCCATTAATCCACCAATTTAACAACTTTCGAGTTACCCCTAAACATATATTGTGCATATAATCAATGGGGAATAAACTAACAAGTCCGATATTTAATTTTAATAACGAAGTAATGCCTGTGTGATGATCCTCGTCGATTTGGAGAGAAAAGATTCGTCTGTTCGTAACGGCATATTTATATTTCTTAAAATGATTCGACTTTTGACATATTCTCCTGATTCGGTGCATTTTTCACAACTTGAGTATCCTTGATGCGACTTAATACATTTTATGAATGCGCGAGCTGGCGCATCGTATATAAACGAATGTACTACAACATTGTAATGTCTTTCGAACAATGTGAAACCATTTTTCAATAATAGTGATAATTCATTTACGAAATCATTTAAAAAGCTTGAGAGTGGTCGAGGCTTTGATGTCCCACAAAACATTCCAACTGGAAATGGTGTTTTCGATTTTGAATTCTGAATTAAAGCCAAAATTGGCCACAGTTGCATATTGCAACTTTTAAACAACGGCAACCCATCTATATTAAATTTTAACTTCATTGTATCTAAATTCACAAGTTGTGAAGCATGCCGGATTATAGCTTTTTTTATTCCAAAGTAAACAAATTGTCCTGTTTCTAATTCTTGAATATGAAATTTTGAAGAAGTTTTCAAAAGCGTTCTTGCATCAACGGGTAATGTGGGATGAAATTTATGTAATAAATGAAGTAATGATGTAAGTGAAGATTGTGATACATCTGGATTCGAAACAGCTCAAGTTCTTAAGCAATCCACGATAGAAAAGTTATTTTCTTTATTATTTTCTACTAGATTTTCAGTAGTATTCGCTTCGTTAGGATTATTTTCTGTAGTATCTGTTACGTTAGGATTATTTTCGTCAAGTATAACGTTTCCAATGAAATCAAGATTCGAATTTTCATTTATGGTTAAGTTGTTAGGAATTAATATATTATTATTTGAAATTTCCAAAATATCATTATTGCTTTCAGAGCAAGAATCGTCTTCAAAAGACAATGTATTCATCGACATATTGGATAACTCGACATCACATTTTTGTTTGTCTAATAGATTAAGAATTACATGCATTGAGTTAGCATCTCTAGCAATTACGTCTGTAGCAACTTTTCGATAAAATTGCCGTTTTCCTACAAACAGTTTGACTTTTTTCATTATAGCAGACATATTACTGCAATTTGTATCTTATTACTTAAGTAATCAATGTAACAGTGAATGTAGTTATCATACACAAACATAAAACATTACGCAAATAAACATAACGCAAATTTTCTTTGGTCAAATTGCTAACAGTTTTTCTCTACAATCACAGACAATCACAGTTTTTCTCTACAATCACAGACAAGGATATATGTAGGAGTAGAACATCTTATATATATATATATATATAAACCCTTACTTATCCTTCTTTGTCTTAAGGGAAGAGCGTTGTGGGGCATGCTTTAACCATTCTTTTACGCTGTTTTCTATTTCGTGTTGCGTACTGCCAGGTAGAGCCAATAGAACAGATTTCATCAATACACTATTGAGTTTCAAATGAGCAAATGCCTTTTTGTTTCGTTTTCCGAGGAAACTATAAAACGATGCAATTTTATCTGAAAGAAGTCGACGAAGTATACGGTTTGTTATTGATGTTACATCTTCGTGACCTCCAATCGTCGACAGATAAGAAGCCTAAAACGTAAATAATTTATTAACAATATAAAACTATTCAATATGAGCAACTTGTTAAATTTTCACGCGCAATTACTTATTTTACCAGAGGCGAGATATTTTCTTCTTTTTTAAGGTATTCCTCCAATCGGGTAATATCTTCAAATGTGGTTATTGGTAGAGTACAAGGCAGTTGTGGTATTTCATTAGATTCGGATACCGTTACAATGGAATTGTTAGTGGCCTTTAAAGCTTGGGATATTTGATCGTTTTGATTGTAAATATCTGTATTCTGTCGTTTTATAAATGCAAGTGTAGCGTTTATATCTGTGAGATTTCTGTTCACGTCAGTTAGAGGTACCTCATTTATACTATTTATAACAGGTACAGAATTTCTTTGAATCACTGAATGTTTATGACTTGGTTGTACCAAATGACTCGTTGTAGGTTTATTATTTGTTTTTGGATGAATTGAGTTTACTAATACTTTATCTAAAATCAATGAACGCTTTGGAAAAAATATATAAGTACCGAAAGTAAAATAATGTAAAATTACAGTACTATTACCTGACGGAACTTGACTGCAACTTGTAAATATATTATTAAGTCTAGGAGGAGCTTTAAGTTTCGATGGTACTGGTATATTTTCTTCATCCGATGAGTCGCTGATATATCTAGAAGGCTTATTCCGCTGTCTCTTACTTGGAATATCTAAAACAGATTCTACGTCAGTCGCTACATCTGATAAATATTGACACAGTTTTATTTTTTGTTCAGCTTTCTTGAAATCATCTGCAAGCAGAACACAAATTCATAAATCCGTGTATATATATATATATATATATATATATATATGTATATATTATACGCATACAAATTACGATGTAGGAATTTGCCCATATAGCACAAATCTTCACAGAACATTCTAAAATGTTCTGAGAACATTCCTATGTTCCAAGAACGTTCTAAAGACATTCTCTGGAGATCTTGTACTATCTAGATGAGTACTTATAGTATAAAATTTCAATGAGATTATAATAAAATCTTGTACTATATATCGAGGTTAAGTTACTTACCGGTTTCAAAATAAGTTTTTGTTACTTGACATAACGACCATTCATTAGTTGGCGTTGCTCCTTGTTTCAATAATTTCTCATATCTATCTTGTGATTTTACAGGTGGCCAAAATACATTAGTTTTGTTAGGAGTAAACCTGCGTACGTTCACAATTGCTACTTCCGTATTGTTATTTGCCGAATCCTCGTTAGCGAATTCTACGCCGACAAATGCCATGCTTTAAAAATTAATACAAAGAGTCTATAAATGTTTTTTTAAGAGAGGTTAACAATCTCAAAATACTTCTTCTATACATACATAGTACAGTGACCAACACTTTCTTGAGTAAATATCTTCTTAACCGTCTTAATCACAATATACAGCTATGTTAATATAGTCCCAACAACGAATCAAAACGACAACTGAACTCCGTGGAAAATTGTCGCTACCTCGAGCAATATGTGATCGTGAGATGTGAACGAATCGTGAGATGTGAACCTATCATATAGTCACTAGTCTGTTCTTGTTAGTGGCGCTGCTGAACGTATATATGCGCGTATTGAATGGTGTTGGGGAACACACATTATTGGTTCCGAGAGCCAACATATTGAAGGAAGGAAGGAACGTGTATACGCGATGCTTTGCAATGACAATTATTTCAGATGTTATAAAATATAGAATCATGTAAAAAAGAATATAGTAAAATAATTCGATTTTTTCCGTGTAAGTTACGTTTTTTAACCAACCGGCACAAAAGTCCAAAAGACATCTATGACAAGAAAATGATGTTAAAATAACGAATGTGCCGGCTGCGTATTATTACCTTCAGGGCCTTATTACTTTATGTTTAGATCAATTGAGGTCATTAGTCTTAATTTACGTATTTTTCACGTCAATGACATGTCATTAGGGAGTTTTTGCAAAACTGTCCTTCAGATACGGTAAACATAATTCGTGAACGTTATTGGCTTAGAAATAACGTTTTAACGTGCTCGACCAATAACGTTCACGAATTGTGTTACCGTATCTGAGTAACGGTATTGCAAAAACTCCCTATTATGTTTGTTAGACGTACAGACCAATGACGAAATTTTATGACGTCTTTATGACGTTCTCTAAACGTCAAGAATTCGTCATTAAGACGTTGTACAAACACGTAATTACGACGTCATAAAAAGGACGTCTTAAATACGTCATTATTTGGTCATTCGACGTCATTCGTCCAATAATGACCTGTTTTCGACATCGTTTCGATGTGACTTGTTTGCTGGGAAAGACTTATGGTCTGTTCTTTTTAGTCGAAAAGTATAAAATAGTACATGTTGAGGAGGGGCGAAGCCCATTCCTCAAAGCATTTTCATATATTAAACATATGAATTTTTAGTTCATGTATCAGTGGTTATTACACAACAAAAATAACCACTGATACATGAGCTAAAAATTCATATGTTTAATATATGAAAATGTCTCAAACATATGTATACATGTTTGAGACTTTTTCATTTGTTACATATCCCCCTCCCGCATCTTGTTCTCGTTGCGCCTTGAAAGTTATATCCATAAGTCTCTGTATTACCGACATGACAGATTTTCTAACCTCGCATGTGTCACTTTTTAACTATTTATTTCTTGCAAACTAGAGCCGAGCGACCATTTTTACTTGCAGATTCGACTTCTACACGTCAAAATACACAAGATAGATGAGTTTGAACAAAATCCAAGGTGAGGCCCGTCTTCTAAATAATTACCAATATTATTTATAGTTGTGGCATCGTTCTTCGCATTGCTGTCATTATCAACAACGAAATGAAGCCTGTACAAGATGAAAGGAGCATTAATAATGAAAGAAGTAAATGGAAAATAGACAAATATATATCAGATAAGTAGCAAATATTCTCATGAAAGAAAAGATTATGTATGTATGTACTATCTGTAATTGTAGATATTGTTGGACTGATTCTTTTCTTTGATTAATTTTTTTGTTCCATCTTCCCAGCTAACCAGGAGTACTTGCAGAATGTCAATAGCCAGAGGAACAACAAGGAAAAGAAGAATAAGAAGTATTGGGTGAATGCAAAAGTTCGTGCGGAGTTTGTGAGTAAAAGTCACACAGTGATTAGGCAAACAAAAATCTTTATTCAATCAATGATATATTCTCCATCGTTTTCTATAATCTTTTCCCAACGTTCTGGCAGCATACGGATGCCTCGATCATAAAAACTGCGCGGTTTAGATTCGAAGAACGAAGAGACGCCGTTTTTTAAGGCCTCCAAAGAGTCAAAGTTTTTTCCATTTAAATAATTTTGCAATGACCGGAACAAGTGATAGTCAGATGGTGCGATATCAGGAAAATATGGTGGATGCGTTAAGACATCCCATTTCAGGCTCTTCAGTTTGCGCAGCGTCTTTTTCGAAACGTGTGGTCTGGCGTTGTCGTGATGAAAGACGACTCCCTTGCGATTTGACAAAATCGGACGTTTCTCTTTCATTTCTCGATTCAGATTGGTTAATTGGCGACAGTACTTGTCCGAATCAATCGTTTCGCCAGCGGGGAGAAGCTCGAAATAGATTATGCCCTTGCAATCCCACCAAACAGAGAGCATCACCTTCATCGGGTGCAAACTGGCCTTTGGCATTGCGTCACCATGCTCACCTGATTGTTTCCATGTCCGTTTGCGCTGAACATTGTTGTAGAGGACCCATTTCTCATCGCCCGATCCAAAAACGACTCGTTATTGAGCCGCCCGAGTAAAGAAACGGCTGCAGAAATTCGCTTGATTTTGTTCTTCTCGGTCAGCAAATGGGGCACCCATATATCGAGCTTCAAATCGAATCCCATCTTTTTTAAACGCCGAAAAGTGGTTGATCGGTCAACGTTTAGTGCTGTAGCAACTTCTTCTGTTGAAATTCGCGGATTATTGAGCACTAAAGTACGCAAAACATCGTCATCAATGTCAGAAGGTTGACCAGAGCGTGGCTCGTCTTCAAGGTTAAATTCTTCGCGCCGAAATTTAGCAAACTATTTTTCCACAGTTTGTTTAGCTGGTGCTTCATCCTGATAAACATCCTGAATGTTTTTTACGGCTGCGGCAACGTTTATTCCCTTCCGAAATTCGTAAAGCATAACGTCGTAAATGCACCTTATCGATACTCATTTTTAAAGTGATATTTCTCGAAGCAGTTTGTATGAAAACAAATGATTTTTTTTTTAATAACAGCTGAAGACGTCACCTTTCCAACGTTATATAATATGTAGATGGAAGTATTAATGACAACACTTTACGACGCTTATAACTCCATCTATTGAAACTCCGCACGAACTTTTGCACTCACCCAATATAATAAAGTATTTATTAATTAATCTCTTTTTTTCCAACTAATTCAGATAATGAATGTAATATTAATAAAATATTTAAATTTTAGATATCTTGGGTTTTATTCCAAATTTTTTGGACTTCAACTTCTTTCTGTTTGAAGGTATCACGCTCCGATTTCAATAAGAATTGTGGATGTCTCATAAAAATTCATAGAGATTTATCAGCTTTATAGAGCTTTATCAGATCTAATGTTTACAATATTTATTACCTTTCTTAACACGTCTAATATAATATATACACATCTAATATAATATATAATTTTTGGCATTATGTTCTATTATCGTATACACATCAACGAAGATAGTGATGCATCTCTCAAAGATGAACGCTTGTCAGTTTTTATGATTTTCATTTTGGACAAAGAACATTCGCATAAATATGTGGACCCAAACATAGAGAAAATTTGAACACCGAAATTTCTATGATGTGGATAACACGATGCATCTAAAATTTTGAAGAATTCGACACCCTTTTCCTGCCGTATTTTTAGCGAAAGATCATATTGCAAATCGCACAATTCTGCCTGAAGATGCAGACGTTGTTCCTCGATTTGCACAGTGAGAGGATTCTCAAAGAGTATTAAATCTTTTCTTAGCATTTCGAAATCACTGAAACGCATATCAAACTGATTTATTAAAGAATAAATAACATTACATTGTTTAACGAAATTACAATTTGTACCGTATTCTTCAAAGAGAAATAAAATTTAATTTAATTTTTATTTCTTAATTTAATTTAATTTAATTTTTATTTCTTTCTTCGAAGATTTAGACTCGCTTTGCAAGCTTGCTCTAGTCACTGACACTAGAAACACTAGAAGCTTTAAATCTAAAGCTGCAAAAGACCAACCAAACTATTTCACAGGTAGTTAGTCACATCGATTTCTTTCGCAGGAAACTAGTACTTTTTAAAAATCAGTTACCAAATAATGTTCTCCACTTTTTTCCTTCATGTCAGATTCTCTTTGAAAAATATAATACAAATTGTAATTTCGTTAAACGATGTAATGCTATTGATTCTTTAATAAATCAGTTTGATACGCGTTTCAATGATTTCGAAATGCTAAGAAAAGATTTAATGCTCTTTGAGAATCCTCTCACTGTGCAAATCGAGAAACAACGTCTACATCTTCAGGTAGAATTGTGCGATTTGCAATATGATCTTTCGCTAAAAACACGGCAGGAAAAGGGTGTCGAATTCTTCAAAATTTTAGACGTATCGTGTTATCCACATCTTAGAAATTTCGGTGTTCGAATTTTCTCTATGTTTTGGTCCACATATTTATGCGAATGTTCTTTTTTCACAATGAAAATCATAAAAACAGGCAAACGTTCATCCTTGAGAGATGCATCACTATCTTCGTTGATGCGTATTACTTCTTCCAAAATCTCTGTGGATATATCATCCCTAGTAGAATCGACATGTAAACGAGCAAGAAAATCCAATTAATATTTCTATAAAAATTGGCCATTTTGCGCTCTGCATTTATTCTTCCTCCTTCATTTTTATATTTTTCACAATGTAGCATTTCGCTTTCCTGCTGAGCCATGTATTTCATTTTCATTAATTTTTAGTGGAGTAGGCCTACTGGGGAAACAATTAAAAAAAAAAATGCATCAACAATAGTACCTCATGGGTGATATGGAAATCTATTAACAAAACTTTAATAACTATATTCTTAATTATTGTTATCACTATATTATTATTAAAGAGAATTTATTATATTAGAAATAAAAGCGTAATATTTCATCATTAATGAGAGTAAGAATTACTTTTTAGGATAAATAAATATTTTATTTTTGATTTGACGGAAGATGCGATCCCAACTTATATTGTATATGAGACCGGTCCTGAGGTAGAACGTCTCACGCGCGATCGGCGGCTCGGCCGCCGTGCATCGAGAGACAGAGGGGAAGCGCGGGCGTTGCCTCTGAAATCGGCTCATGCTGCTCACTTAATTCCCAGCACTGTTATAGACTATCAAAAGCAATATAGCGCGGTACGAACCATGTAAGTTATGTGAACATTGTCTGCAAAAATATACATCTACATTGAGCAGTTTTCGCTTTTGCATTATTCTGATACTTATTTTTCTAATATATTTTTCATGTACTTCATGTTTACACGATTCAATGCAAATGTACACATTCGCATTCAACATTCACATGATTCATATCGTTCGTAAGCATTTGACAACTGTAGAACAGAGTGAGAAAATACTAATCACATAAGGTTGATAATAAACAACTTTTGGAAAATAGTATATATAACGTATCAAAATATTCGTCAAAAAAATGTATGTTATCGATAACTCTACATATTATGTAATTATTAATTATTTATGCTTATAATATATATTTAACTTGCTAATGTAGATATATATTTGCATTAACGTTCACATGATTGACATAATCGTACGCCATATTACTTTTGACAGTCTATAGAATAGAGTGAGAGAAGTTTAATGCCGTGCAATGTTCTTACTCTGTCGTAAACTGCCAACTTCCGGCTTCACTCCT